TATAAAGAGATTAATGATATGAATTAACAGTAGAATCCAAATATCCTCAAATATCAATCAATTTTTCAGTCTAAAATTTATCTTCTTTCCATATATCTTCACTTTGATTTTCAAAAATCGTATTTGCAAACTTTTTCATACATAATTATATCTTAAAAATAAAAATATTGTAAATTTCTTCAATATAGAATTATTATTGTTTACTAATTCTGTCTATAATGAATTTATCGGTCTAAAAATGGCTTTACAGTATCTTTTTGGTTTTGATTAAAGAATGCTACTCATTCATAATTAAACATTTTAAAATTAAAAAAAATTCTTCACCTTATAAGATTGTTAACCTTTATCAACAGTTATTGTAGTCAATTTAATTATATTTAATAGTAAAAAAATTGCTTCAAAATATTAATGAAATACTTTTCCATAGTTAACGTAGAAAAGGAAAGATTCTATCAAAAAGTCATTCAGATTACTTCTAGGATTTATCATCAAATAAGGCTCTTAAATTGCATTAAATAAATAATTATTCATATTATCATTATAATTGGTAAGGTTGAATTGTAGTTAAGTATTTTATCTGTGAATCTTTCTATTATTTATCAGACAGAATGCTTTTATATTAATTTCTGAATTTCTATCTTATGAAATACTAGGACTAAGAGAGAATAATAATAGAAATTAAGTACATGTTTTATAAGCAATTTGGATAACGATAATTTCTGCAATTTAGATCTGTATAGGAGATTGAGAAGAATAACTATTGAAAGAATTTCAGAAGGAAATATTTCTCAAGAATAATTATACACTATTAATTATCTTTGAATCTAATTAAAAATTCATCATTTCATTTAATGAAAGTCAATCTTAACAAAGGATACAATTCAAAATTCCTATAAATAAATCACATAAACTGTGCCTAATTTATCAAAAATTTCACTTTAATCCTTTTTAAAAAAATATTCTCTATCTCTAAAACAATACCATGATATTCAAATTTAGAATTACGTTTTCCTATTAAAGGTTTGGAAGATATTAGAAATTATATGTAATTTGATGAGGTTTTTACAAAATCCTTCCAAATTAAAATTAGATTTTTTTAGCACCTTTCCTTGAGTATCAACCTTTCGAGCTATACTTTCTCTCATTTTCTTTTAGGTTTGGAACAAACTAAACCAAAAATTATACTTAATAAATCTGACTAAACTCCTTCTGTTTCTGTTAGTGGTTTGTTTTTAACTAATCAAAAGTAATGAAAGATGATATTATCTTTTTTGGAAGGTAATCTAAATATTTGAAGAACAATATGAAAAGGATAAAGTATTGTAGCTATGTCTGAGCATGAAATCAAGAAAAACTATTCTTTTCTAAGTCAAATTAATTGAATAACCATAGCATAATTATACAATTTGCTATTTCCTTTGTCAAAAGAATTCAGAAAAAATATACTAGATGTAGCATAATGATTTGATCTGATGAAGAGAATTAAAATAAGTTAAAATATATGCTCGAATCTACTGGTTTCTGTTTTTCTATTCTTCAAATCATTGGGGAAGAATCATTCCGTATAATCATTAGAATAGACATATCTTTAAACTTTTAACTTGAAGTGATGGATATCCTAAATATAAAGGATAATATTTTAGGATTTTGATAAAGAAAGTAAATTGAAGTTTGTCTGAATCTGGAATTCTGCTTTAATCTTCTACTTGGTTCAGGATTGAAAAGAAAAATGCAGAAATTTTTTATAAAAAGATTCATATATACTTTTTATAAAAATTATAATAGTCCAAGAAATTTCTTTTCTTACATCACATATATTCTCAGGTGTTATCGATACCTTAATCAATAAGGGTATTATTGAATTAGGACTTTGTATTTTTATAAGTTTCTAAAACTTTAGTTTATCACTAAATGAAAGATGAATTTATGTTTAATCCAGTCGAATTAATTTACAGATTAAAAATATAGATGGTTCAGTCTTCATTAAGTAATTTACGATTCTTAATATATGGAAGGTAATTTGAATTGTTATATATGATAATTGTTTGATTTTTATCAAACTCAAAATTATTTAGTAAGGAATCCAATTTTATTATAAATTAAGGATTTATTATTGAAGGCAAGAGTAGATGTGTGTAAGAATTCATAAAGGAAACTTAATAATTGTGCTTTTATCACAAATTAGAAGAGTCATGAATTTGACATATACTAGTTTTTCGTTCTTTCATACTATTTTTATTTAAGTTTAGAATCCAAAACTTTTATTAAGAATTTGAATGGATTGGTCTCCTCCAGTTCATTCTTTAACTTTTATTAAGCTTTATGTTCTGACTTTCTTAAGAAGTTTTGAATTGTGTTCACAATAAGCAAAGCTCTTATATTTCTGCATTGAGATACTAACATCAAAGAGAGCTAGTTGTTATTGGCTGAATTTTTTATCTTTCTGTTCCATTAATTATGTTTCTGAAGGTAATAATTTTCATTAAAATCAATACTTAAGCAGTTCTAAAGACATAAA